CTTGTGACAGCCCTCCCTCCTGCCCGACACCCCCTCGCACAAGCATGACTATCACAGCAATTAACACACATGCCAATTAACTACAAGCAGGTGCTGGTTAACTCTGTGCTGAGTAATTCATACCCGGCTCCCAGCAAATGGCTTGAAATCGGAGAGACGGGTGGGGGAGCAGAGTTCGCATTTTGCAAACGGGGGCAGAAAGCAAAAGCAGAGAGGACTCTCAGCTGGGAGATGTTTTTATAAAAGAAGGAATTTGGGGGTGCTGAATCCACAGCTCCAAGAGCCGGGGGGGCAGGAGAGCCGATATCTCTTCCAAGTCTTTATTTCTGGATTTTTTTTTCTACCGACTACACATATTTCCGCTCTATTTTACCTATTTCTGAGCGCTCTCACCTTGGCGCTGCACGAGCAGCAGGGCTCTTGGCACCGTAATTTCTCACTTTCCCATTCCTGAACAGCCCCGTATTTCTCTCCGCACGAGCAGGGGCACTTAGAGCCTCACATCCACTTCCTACGGCCATTTGCTATTTTTAATCTCCTTTCTTGCATCCCTTTTTAGTCCCCTCCTTACTCCAGTCCGCTCCCCTCGAAGGCGCGGATATGAAGCTGTCCCTCCTCAAAACCTCGCGGAGCCTCGCGCGCTCAGCACGACGGCAGCTGAAATAAACCCGGCGTCGGCCGCGCAGCTGCGAAGAGAAGATCAAAAAGACAAATCCGCAAGCTTTGCGGAAGATAAATAAAGGCAAATAAACGCATCCTTTCCAAAAAAAAAAGAAGAAAAAAAAGTATTTGCCTTTTGAGCTCTGCGTGGCCTTGCTTGTCCCTGCACTCGCGTGCCGTGGGTCCCAACCCACCCGTGCCCGGGCAGAAATATGCTACGAGCAAGGGCAAAATTTGGAGGGGTTCATCGCAGCCCCGGTTCGAGGGCCGTTCTCAACTGCCACGGGGACGTCCTTGGCCGTGGGGGAACCTGCAAAGGCAGCTTCAGAGGACAGTGGGGAGACTGGGGGAAAAAAATAGGAAGGAAAAGGGAAAAGCATCAAAACGCTCTCCTGCGAAGATGCTGAAGGGACCATCGCGGCTCGTCTTATGAAGGGTGTCTGCTCACGGCACAGAAAGTCCCAAATTCAAGGGGGAAAAGCAGGTGATGGCTACGGAGGAGCCCAGCCCAGCCGCCCGCTCTGCCCAGGCACCGAGCCCTGGCTCTGCAGCACAAAGCCACCCTCTCCCCCGGGACTTGCAGTTTTCCCAAAGCCGGGATCACAGAATCCCAGCATGGGGGGGGTTGGGAGGGCCCTCTGTGGGTCACCCAGCCCAACCCCCTGCCCAAGCAGGGTCACCCAGAGCAGGCTGCACAGCACCGCGGCCA